GAGAAATAACATCTGGTCAGACAAAAAATTTGGACAGTTTGTAAAAGTCCTTTCAAACATATCACGATATCTCATGACAGAATATAACTGCCAATTTTTCGAATGAAAAAATCTCTGTTTTCAATTTAGTTAAAAGTATTAATCAAAATTCAGTTTGTCTTATTTAATTCAAGATAACTCTTGAAGGAACTACTCAGAAGTGCACTACAGACTATAATAAAAATATCATATATTATTTTATCAGGTACATATAAAGATAGATGCTCACTGCTGAGCAGTCCCACAGTAGGATAAAATGGCCATCCAGTGCTTCCAGGTTTTTCATGCTGGTCTAGCTTCAATTGACTCATGATCTCAACTATTGAAATTAATATAATATCCACAAAAGAATCCCTTCTGATACCAATCAACCTGTGCTCACTAATGACGGTCTCCAAGAGGTTTTTCCTAGAGTTCTAGCGAGAGGCACTGACCAGTGGAGTTCAACTGGGTCTGTTGTGAGATAGTAACTCACTGATGACAATGGTGGATGTGTCGATCAATTTGACGAATTGGTTGAAGCTAGACATTAATACCGTTGGATGCTGGCTCAGTGATCTAGTGGTTCAGCCTTAGCACGCGAGATTGATAAGTCCTGGGTCCGAATCTTGCAGGAGGCGGGATCGTGGATGTGCACTGCTGAAAAGTCTCACAATTGAACGAAATGGCTGTCCAGTGCTTTCAGGTTTTCCATGGTGGTCTAGCTTCAATTGACTCATGATCTCAACTATTAAAATTACTATAATATCCACAAAATTGAGAATAATCACTAGTTTTATTCATTTCGCTTAATTTTTTGTGAGGATTATTAATGGCGGAAAACGCTCTTCAATATCGATAAAACATAAGAGGATCAAGTGAGATCTGAAGAAAAGTGCACACCAAGATAAATGACCTTTGACACTGTTTTTACTATGGATTGTATCAGGGTGTTTAAATGCTATTCATGTCTCTACCTGAAGTTGACGGTTTGACATTTTTAAGAATTAAGTGTGGGACCACTAACAATAGACCACCGTTCAATAAGGGACGAGAACTCATTCATTTCAAGGGAATGTGAGGAGGTAGAGATCGGTATACATACTGTGAGATCATTAACATATTTGACAAGAGCGTTTTGTGTGAAAATGGCAGATCATGCATAGAGAGAAAAGACAAGATGAGAGAACAGCTTATTGTGGAACATCTTTATGAGTTAGTAGAGACAGTGAACACATTCCTCCGAATACAGTTAATCGTTCTCTTCCAGAAAAGTAAGAACAGTGCTATTTGTTTATTCTGCTATCGGTGTTGATGCTGATAAATTTGTTAAGTAGTGGTTATCTTGTAACAGACTGAAAGGAACAATTATAATCTTATACTGAGCATCGAACATTTTTCCTACCCTTTTCCAAGATGAATATTATATTTCGATGCTTCTTTAACATTTTTAAGCAATCTAATTTGGATCACTCTATATTTTTTATCGTAAGTTGAAGTGGAGGTAGCAAGAATTTTTTCCATTGTTTTGAGAAAAAGCGAATTTATTCCTATGGGTCTAAATATAAAATTCACCTAGTTATTCGCTCTAATGCGTCTCTCACCTGCAAACTGTTTAAATAGTTCCCACATAATTGAAGAGTTTCTATAACATAGGAGCCTCCAGGTAAACATCGAGTTCAGATATTTAATCTCAAGTTTTATCAGACCATTTAGTTTGTAAACTTTGATGCAGTTTTTCCCGTTGTACATTCTTTGTTTTTTCGTCCGTAATCGTTTTACTTGTGAAGACGTAAGTCGATCAACACTTAGAAAAATGATTTTAGTAGGACAACAAATGTTGAAACAAAATTTAATATAATAGTGACAACATCAACGGTATTTTCTAATGACTTATCCGTGAATAATCTTCAGTATGTCGTATAAAACATTTTTCAGATTTTGAATATATTTTCTTATCAGTAATTCCTGCATTTGACCTTCTTTGTCTGATATAAGAATGACTGATAATAAAATGAGATATTAATTTCAATATACCGTTTGGTAACTTGAATTAAGTTTTAAGCCTTTGAATTTCTGAAGCTTGCAGTAAATTTTATAAGCGTTATAAATGAACATATCATTAAAAATTAATAGTTGAATTCATGAGTTGATTAAAGCTAGACCACCATAGAAAACCTGGAAGCACTGGTCAGCCATTTCGTTCTTGTGTGAAACTCTGTAGTAGTGCACATCCACGATGCATCTCGTGAGACTCAAACCTGAAACCTTCGGTCTCGTATGCAAACGCTTAACTTCGAGACCACTAAGCCAGACGGTGTCAGAATTTCGTTGATTGGTTGAAATTAGACATTAACACACCGGCCGGCTCAATGGTCTAAAAATTAAGCGTTTACGCGCAAGACCGAAAATCCTACGTTCAAGTCTCACGTGATGGATCATTGATGCTCAATGCTAAGGGGTTCAATACGAGTACTAGACGGCCATCCAGTACTTCCAATTTTTCCATGATGATCTAGCTTCAATTGAATCATGAATTCGATTAATCAAATTAATACAATCTTCACAAAACCCCCCTTCTGACATTAAAAATCAATTAATAATTCCTTAAAAATAACAGAAATATGAATTTTTTTATTAAAAAAATGGGACCAAAATCTTTAAAAAAAAGTGAAGAATAATAAAAGTTTATTTATTTCAGATAAATTTTGATTTTTTTTTTGTGGTTTTTTCCTAATTTGATAAATCAATAATTTTAAAATCGAAAAACACATAATTTGAAAAATTATTATTTACAATTATCACTATTCCATAGAGATAGAGAGATGAAGAGAGAGAGAGAGAGAGAGAGAGAAAGAGATTGTACCAGCATACATAGTTATCATTTTGTTAATATTAATATAATTTTAATAATATTTAATAAGTATGAAGAAGTGATTATACAAGATTTAAATATGTGAATAATATACTCCGTTTTTATCCTATTTGTTTCCCATAGGAACAACATAAAACTTATTATAAGTTACATCATATGAATAAATTCTTATAAATGTATACAGTAATAAAATGTGAAGTAAAAAATAAACAAACAAACAAACAAACAAATTTTGATAAACATATTCAGCTACTTTTTATAAAAGGAATGTGTATGTATAAGACTAAGAGACAAATGAATAGAACTTGATTTAGGAAGGGAATGTTTAATTCATCATTTCAAATAATTAATAATTGTTTTATGTTACTGTATAGTTTGAAATGATGAAATAAACAGCATAAAATATATCAATGACAAATCCTTATTTTCTTATCTAACTGTATAAATAACACTATCTAATCTTTTATACTAGATTATCAAAGTTATTTACTGCATATTATTCTTTAAGGAATTAGACTACATAACATATTGGAATGTAAAGTATGATAAACAATTCATTTGTTTTTTTTTATTGAAATCATGAACCGATTGATGTTAGACCACCAGTGAAAACCTGGAAGCACTGGACGGCCATTTCGTCCTATCGTGGGACTCCTCAACAGTGCGCGTCCACGATCCCGCTCACGGAATTCGAACCCAGGGCCTTCAGTCTCGCGCGCGAACACTTAGCCTACTGATAATTATCAATGATACTAATTTGGGAAGATTAAATAAACAGAATACATTGCTTGATTCATTTTAGTTCGTTAATAACTTGTACTCAACACAGTACTCAACATAGTGGTTTTAGCTGATCTTGTAAAAGCGTAACAGTATTGTTATATCGTTTTTTAAAATAATCCGTTCAAATTAGGATTAAATATTTTTCTCGCCAGATTTAAAACAATAATTTTTTTCAAAAAGAAAAAGTAAAGAATTTATACTAATCATTGCGCTTGATAAAGCGTGATAAGTAGAAAACTAAATTGATTGAGGAACAAAAAATTCAATTGGTTTAAAACGCTTACTTAATTCACATAAATTAGCTATGTAAACTTGAAAGTAATGGATGAAATCAAACTTAATTTCTCTCTATAGTAGACAATAAATTTCAATCGACTAATGTATACCGCTATCATGACTGTTTTTAATAATAAAGTATTGGGTTTTATTTCTTTCTAACAGAACAATGAATAACATGATGATGATGATGATGATGATGATGATGATGATGATGATGATGATGATGATGATGATGATGATGATGATGATTAAACTCATACACTTGTTTATTCATAATTGTCTTAATTCCTAACTACTAAACAACATTAAAATGTAGTGGCGTGGCAACTCGAACTGATGTACGTACGTACGAAGTTCTACGTTGTTACTGACTGACTGATTTAGATAAAAAGGTAATTCAAAAGTGATTCAACTCAATGTTATAGAATGTTAAACTTCATTAAATCATTTTTCGTCAAGGCTTTCTTGAATGTATGATACGAAGTTAAATTTTAAAAATATACCATAAATATTCTTATTAATTTATTATCTTCCGTAATTTAGAAATTTAATTAGTTAAAATAAAAGTTATACATATAAAATGAGTATTTTTAATTATCAAGGGTTTTGTGGAGATTTTAGAAATTTCAGTAGTTGAAATCATGAGTCAATTAAAGCTAGACCACCAAGGAAAACCTGGGAGCACTGGACAGCCGTTTCATCCTATTGTGGGCAATGCACATCTACGGTCCCGCCCCCTGCGAGATTCGAACCCAGCACCTATCAGTCTCACGCGCAAGCGCTTAACCATTAAACCACTGAGTCGTTATCCAACGGTGTTAATTTCTAACTTCACTGCTGAAGAATCCCATACTATGACCAAAACGGCCGTCCAGTGCTTCCAGGTTTTCCATGATAGTCTAGCTTCAATTGACTCATGATTTCAACTATTTTTAATTAATCTATGAAATAATTACAAATTTATTTTCACAAAACAGATTCCATATATATTTTTGTTTTTCTTTCTATAGAAACATTCAACTGTCCCAATGTAATAAGTACTTACGGATAATTATTGAAAATGATTCGGGAAAAAATCCACACAAAAAAAATTAGAAACATTTAATCCATTTCATTGAATTTATTATAAGAAAATTTAGAAACTGTATGTTTCCACCGATTTTTATTCCAAAAATAAATAAATAAATAACTTATTAAATAAATTAATGATAGAGATAATTTGAAATTCTAAAGAGAAGTTGTTGATTGGTTAAAATATTTTCCAGCAATCTGATTGGTTAATATGAGTATGTACTAAAAAAATAATTATTAGATTAATTCAATTTTGTTTTGTTTTAACATTTCGAAAGAAAACATTTATTTTCTATCTCATCCCTTATATTTAATCATTTGAGTGAAATGAATAACCCATCTATTTATCATCTTCGTTACTGTGATATTGTTTAACCATATTCTCAAAGTACATCTTATAATATATAAGATTGGCCTTATGATAAAATAATGTCACTTAATTATCTAATCAATATAGGTTATTAGCTTAATTAAAATTGTTTGTGTTTAGCATATCCGAGTTATAAAAGTTGTACGATTACAAAACATCAATGAAAGAAGTAAAGTCATGGCAAATAAAGATGATGACTGAATAGTTTTATTAAAATACAGTTATCTCATTTCTTTCAAATATTTTGAAGTCAGTTCTGTTAACTCAATATCGAAAGATTTTATTTTTGAGTTTAAAGGGTTTGGTAGTTACTTCAATTACAACCAACGGTTGTTTTTTTCAAGATAAAATATGAGGATTCATTACACTTTACACGTACCAGAAAAATCTCTTACACAGCAAAGTTTCTTAATGGTAAACGTACGATATTCTTTATTTCCAAATATGATGATGTTGGCACTTTCAAAATTAGGCTTTCAAAAAAGTTCTGTTTCTTTGTCTAGCTGTATTTATAAACAATGAGTTACAAGGTTCTTTAAAATATATTCAGACGAAACTGTAAGAAATCTTATTTTGAATGACTTGAAAAGAATTGTATTTAAAACACGTTTCTCTAGCCTTGATCTATATTTTCCACATTATACTCATCACATCCTTATTTAAAACATCAAACTTGTGGATATACTTGTTGAATTTTAAACTTAGTTAGCTAGTTATATAATATACCCTTGTGGGCCAGGGTAATTTTACATTGGTTTTCAGGAGAACTAGATACCATCCGAACTTTCACGTGACAACTCAAACAATACAGCTCAACCCCGTTTAGCAGGAGAACCAGACACCGTATAGGCTCTAACGCTACAATCTGAATAGTACAGCTCAATCCTGTGGTGCAACCACACAGGTACCAGGCACCCTGGTGGACCAGAATTATAAACTACTGCCACAAATTTAAATAATTTGCCAGTCAAATAAAAAAGTATTCAAAATCATTTCCCTTAATAACAATAAATTAATCCCTAACTATGAGACACGTTAGCTGGATTTACCTGCATGTCAGAGTGGATGTTCACTACGGAAATTCAACCCAACACCGTCTACTCCAAACGTCATCACGTTATCTATTTAGCTACTGAGTTCAGACACCCTCTGACTTGTGTAATGATTGAGATGGCATGCAAACTGAAAGGTAATGTATTCGAGTCCTGGAGTGAACGTCAACATTATGATGCAGACACGTCCAGTTGATGAGTCCCAAATGTGGTGAAATGCACATCCTGGATCCCACTACTACCGACTATCCATCTCTTCTTATAATATCTGTAACATAATGACAATATCGAAGCAATCTGAACACATGCCTAAAAGCGACTAATCAATTGTGATCCCATACATCAATGGAACGACTCGAACAACAAATACAGACGAATTAATCCCTAACGGTTTTGATCATTTTCCTCAACTGTTCTGAATTATTTTCAAGACAGTCATTGAAACAGCTCATGTGATTACCTAAGGTCTTATTTTGTCAGTCTACTTGACTACTCATTATTCACTTGTTTCAGATAAACAATTTTTTATAAATATAATAAAGTAATAACATATTTTACTTGTTCGTGAGAATCATGCAGCTTCAAAAGTGCCTTGATTGTTGAAGTTTTAGTGTGAAGTGATTACGGTTGTAATTTGAACAACCCAAGAACCAGACATATATCAACGATGACAATTGGTAGTTGTCAAGCTTACTGATTTATTTGCAATGTAAACTATTTTGTGTTAACTCCATAGTTTAGCCATATCATGCTCGTCACAAAACCTCATAGTACTTGATTTGATTCTGAGGTTATGTGTAAACACCAGTTATAAGTTCCGATATATTCCAAAACACTGCCACTTATTTCTAATGTTTTAATAACGAAAGTTCAACTATTAAAAAAACTCTAAAAACTCATGGTACATTACAATAAGTAATTTACACTAGAAGTTAATATGTTTATTTCAAGCAGAACAAAAGTATAAGTGATCTATTGACAATGATAAATGTTCTCCGACATTCTGATTCATTCTATCAAACATCAAAAACGTATGTTTTTGTATAAATTATAAAGCTTATCATACAGCAAAAAGCTTGTACAGATATTTTTTAAATGCCGATATTCTAGACAGTTTTCTGATACGATATTCTCATCACATGCTCTCGGTTAATCAATCATGTTAGTAAATATGACTTTGAAGCTAAATAATTCTATTGAGTACATATGATTCAATGAAAAGGAAATGCTAAAAACAACAACAATAACTATATCCATCAATTGTTCGTTTAACGGAAATGCCGATGAAAATATGTACAACACTTGATCTCAGGAAATTCAAGCTCATTGCAATCATGTTCATAACTATTGAGATACATTATATTCTTAATCGGATGTTCTACATATGGTTAAATTGATGTTGTTTAACCAAAGATTATTAATCTTATAGAAAGTAATGACAAACTAAATTCACTAATTATTTTATACTTTTTGTAACCAGGGCGAATGGTTTCATAGTTTTTGATCTTGGATGATTATTTCTATTAAAAATAGTTTTACACATTTCAGAAGATATACGGAACTGTAAATTTCAAAATAGTTACTGTATACGCTATGTCTGAATGATACATCCATGTCTTTTAATGACCAAGGTCAGCCTACTATTGCATGAAGTGTGATGTAAATCTAGATATCCAAAGAGAGAGTGCGCAAACAAGGAAGCTTACACAAACCAATTAGTCATATATCAATAGAGGGTCAAAATCCGTTATTTTTGATCACTTTGTTTATACATTGAATCATTTTCAACAACTTGACACCCAAAGTTGCCGAACAACAATCAGAATGTAATAAATATTTGTAAATGACTGAAAGCAATATTTGACTTAGCTTGAAAAACAAACATTTATCAGTTATAAAAGGAACGCTTTTCAAATGAAAATGGTTTGTGTATAACAGAATGTGATAACAGGTATGTTAGTAATGGGGGACACTTATATCGTTAATAAATCATTCAGTATTTCTAAAGTTAATAAACAAAACTGCTCATGATAAATAGTTTCCTTACGAAGTTGCCACAACAGAAATTTGATCTTGTTTAAAAATATCTCTTTCAAATACGATTTTTTGAAGTATTCTATTTAAAATTCCTGCCGTTCGGATAAACCCAGAGGTTGCTGTATGTTTAGGAAAAGAAAAGCAGTATTTCATTGTGAGCGATGAATATATTTCAGGTAAGCAAACCAATTTAGTTATGTTGAAGTTTCACAATGTCTTAAACTGACCAATCTTAAACAATACTCCACTTATTGTTCTTAGTGATGGAAGCATAGACAAATGTTCAAATCAGAATAATTGATAAGATCATCACACTAATATAATTTTTCACAGGAAAGATCAATAAATTTAGAGCATATTTTGTAAAACCTACTGTAATAATGGATTAATCATTCGAAAGCAAATTAATTGAATATTACTATAGAACTCTAAACAATCTTATAAGAATGTATGTAAATGGTTAGTCTAACTAAAACTCAATTAATGAGTAGTTGAACCCCTATAGTTTGCCCACTTGCTTTTGTTTTTAATATCATCAATAATCTCTAGGGTATAATGTTAATAAAAATTTAGTTTGAAACTAACACACATTACTTTGACGAAATAAGCTAATGAAATAACTTATATAGTCTGTAGCCAATCTTTCAAATTTAAAGAATAGATTAATGTAGATTCTATGAAATAACCTTTTAAATTGACAATCGGAAGTATAATACTGAATATGGATATGTTCACAAATCTTTATGTCAATATTACTTCCTTTTGTAAGTAAGATTATTATGACAAAATAATAAAATGTCTGGACAAAACTCTACAATTCCGAAGAATCGAATTTCACGCTTTTTGAAAAACAAATTTCTTTCTTAAAAGATAGAACCTCTGAGATTCTGGCTGCGGTATTTTTTCCATCTAAACACTAAATGACAATTGAAATTCAATGTCGTTTGTATTTTTAGCAAAATGAATCTATTCATGAGGGACCATATCTATAAACTACTTTGAATTATACAGCTTCCAGAAGACACAAAGAAAAATCAGATGATTTCAAGCAATTTCAAAACAAGGGACTTTATTTAAAGGTGATTCAAATAGCCCTTTATAGAAACAAAGACTTAAATCGATCATCAACAAAACGTATTGCGCAGCAAAGGTCATTATCAAAGAAAGAACAAGGTGCACGCTTTATCCAAAACCTAAAAGACATCAAAATGATTGTGTCATCCCACTGTGTTTACCAATTTAAACGTGTGTAGTCACACATACATAGGGAGGAGAAATCGCGATTTCAAAATTAGAGTGTGTGAACTTGTACCAAAATGGTTGTAGAAACAAATAGAATCAAGTGACATTCAATAAGAAAAAGAGAATTCAGCGAAGAGAATTCTCTTTCCGACGAAATCATTTACTTAAGCTGTACATTCATATATATATATATGTATAGTTATCTGGAAAAATATGTCTATAGGAGGATAGAAAAGATTGCATCATAACATGGATTCGAGACTAAATAACAAATGAGGTTATGTACTAATCAAGAGGTAAGGAAGAAAATAGTTTATGGGTCATCTAATTGTCCAGTTGACAGATATGAAGAAAAACGACAAACATAAATAACTATCTCAATACTTTTATTTC